CGAGTAGCACATCACCATAAGAGGAAGAAGGACCTTTGCCATGATTTCCTCCAGGCCTAGAGATCTGATAACACTATTCCTCGGAAGCCACCAGTGTGGTGCTAAAATCATTCCAGTCCACATACCAGCACCAGAAGCTCTTTTTCCATTTGTGTGTACCCCTGTTCAGTTCCTGCTGGTCTAAGTAATCCTTTGCCCCTGCAGAAGAGCTACTCCCAGTGTTCTTTCTCTAATGAATCACGTGTCAGTAGTTTTCCTGGCTGGCTGTACTTTAAGGGTGTGTCTAGACTATATGCCTCCGTCGATGGAGGCATGTAGATTAGACAGATAGGCAAAGGGAAATGAAGCTGCGATTTAAATAATCGCGGCTTCATTTAAATTTACATGGCTGCCGCGCTGAGCCGAGAAACAGCTGATCAGCTGTTTGTCGGCTCAGCGTGGCAGCCATGTAAATTTAAATTTCATTTCCCTTTTTAGAATACACAAATCTACATGCCTCCGTCGATGGAGGCATGTAGATTAGACAGATAGGCAAAGGGAAATGAAGCTGCGATTTAAATAATCGCGGCTTCATTTAAATTTACATGGCTGCCGCGCTGAGCCGAGAAACAGCTGATCAGCTGTTTGTCGGCTCAGCGTGGCAGCCATGTAAATTTAAATTTCATTTCCCTTTTTAGAATACACAAATCTACATGCCTCCGTCGATGGAGGCATGTAGTTTAGACGTACCCTTAGATAGGGGCAGTGCTTTTTTTGTGATGTGCTGTGGCAGACGGAAGCTGGAGGTAGGAGACTAGCTGCATCAAGTGCCTAGAAGGTGCACAGGTTATGGCCATGAGGGAGTGCAGGAAGGTTAGGAGAGAAGTAGGCACAGAGGGGACTCGGAGAGGAGGGCTAGGGACTGCAGGAGAGGAGACGCAGTGCAGGAGGAGGTAGGGTGAAGCAGATACATAAGCATCAACATAGGTACTAGGCAGGTAAGTGTAGCCAGACATGAATCCCATTTTGTTTCCCCACCCCCAGAGAGCAAGAGAAAGGCAGTCAGCCTTTGATGCCCTAGGAACGCAGGTGTGCTGCCTGTCCCTGACTCTACCATAAAACAGAAAACAGACAGTAAATGGGCTAGCTGACGACCCCCATTTTGTTTCCCCACCCCCAGAGAGCAAGAGAAAGGCAGTCAGCCTTTGATGCCCTAGGAACGCAGGTGTGCTGCCTGTCCCTGACTCTACCATAAACAGAAACCAGACAGTAAATGGGCTAGCTGACGACCTGAGGCCTCCCGTCGCTGTGATGGCTAGTATCAGTAATTGACACGCCTGCACTGTCTCGGGAGAGGAATCTTCGCCCATCACATACCAGAGGTGCCCATTGTCTGCATCTTCCCAGGTGTGAATTATGCTTTGCACCCTTCGTGGGAAACTTGGCATTCAAAGCCATTTTTCCTGATTGGCCACTTAAGACCAGGAAGAAGCCCATGTGACCCAAGGGGTATAAAGAGGGTTGAGTTGCCCACCCAATTTGAGCTCCAATCACCTACACCTGCTGGCAGGTATTGATTGTCTCCCGAGGTCCGTGGGACGCCCAACCTCGCCCTACTTCTTCCCGAGGGATTGCGAGAAAGACGCTGGCCACGCCAAGTCTGGAACGCAGGGGTGAAAATTGTACCTGCAATGTGTTTCTTTATGTGTACACTTTACTTGTTGCTCTGTTATAAGTTTAGTTACTTTATTATAGTTTCTTAAGGCCAACTGCTTCATTTCTATTGTAAACTGCCTTTGGTAAGGTGATTTAGCTATAAACTTTGGGAATAAGTGGGATGCCCTCATTCACTTATAAAATATATATATATTGAACCAAGTTTCTTTTATTTTATTTTCTCTTTCTTTCT